GGGGGGGGGGGGGGGGGGGGGGGGGGGGGGCGCAGGTGAGCAGGGAGGAGGCCTCCCATCCCGGCTCCTGAGGAGCAGAAGTTGGGGGCCATGGGCTGTTCTAGAATGGTAACAAGGACGAGAGTTCGCCGTGGTGGGTGCGCCACACTCTCCGTTTCACAGATGAGCAAGCTGAGGCAGAGGGAAAAGCCACTTGGTGGCAAAAACCAGGCTGGTTCTGAACCTCAGGCCCCTAACCATTAGGCTTTACTGCCTGGGCGCCGTTCGAAGCCCTGCACAGGGGCAGCGGCTGGACACCCCCTCCAATGGGCTTGGCTCAGAGGAACAGAGCCCTGGTTTAGGAGACGCATTCCTACCATCTCCCCTTCAGGGACCTCTGTTTTCTTATCTGTGCTGTGGGAAGTTGGGCGGGATGGAAGCCATTTCTCCCGGTGGTCAAGGCCTCACGCGCACTGGGTGGGGTGGCCCACACCCGTAGTCCCCACTCCGAGGAGATGAGGCAGGAGGATTGCAAGTTTGAGGCCAGCCTGAGCAGCCTCGATCTCACTGGTCTTACAATCACAAAAAGTGGAGTGGTGGTGGTGGGTGCTGCTATCTGATCCCCAGCTTGCCCCCTGGGACAGGAAGGTGACGTTCATGGATGCAATTGTTACAGAGACAGCAGGTCCAGGGCTGAGCTCCCTGTCGGGATCAGAAGAGCAAGAAAATAATAATGGTGGGCTGGGGCTGGGGCTCTGGCAGAGCGCTCGCCTCCCACGGGTGAAGCACTGGGTTCGACTCTCAGCACCACATGAAAATAGAGAAAAGGAAAATAAATAAAGCAAAGGTATTGTGTTCATCTACAACTAAAAAATTTTTTTAAATGATAATGGTGTTTCATACTATAGGTGACCTTGAGCTTTAAGGCAAGCCTATGGGATGGTGATCTTGATGGTGATGAGGACTGGCACTCCCTTACCAACTTCATACCTCCACCAGGCTCTTTTCTAGGTGTTCAGCATTCAGTATTATCTCATTTAATGTTCTTTTCCTTGCAGGAGGTACCAGGGATTGAACTCAGGGGCATTCAACCACCAAGCCACATCCTCAGCCCTTTTTTGTATTTTGTTTAGAGAGAGGGTTGCACAGAGTTGCTTGGCACCTTGCTGTTGCTGAGGCTGGCTTTGAATTTGTGATCCTCCTGCCTCAGCTTCCTGAGCCGCTGGGATTACAGGCATGTGCCACCAAGCTGGCTCATTTAACATTCTTAACACCCCTGAGACAGTAACTGCTTTTTCTTCTGATTGTAATAAGGAAACAGATGATCAGGACTAAAGCAACTCACCCCAGGTCAAATATCTAGAAAGTGACAGAAGGAGGCTAGCCACGTCGCCTCTCAGCCTGCTTCCTCGCCTGTGAAATGGGAACAGTGCTTGTTGCTCCTTCCCAGGTTCCTTGTGAACATACAGTGGCCAGCTACAGTGTTTCTCCAGCAAGAGAACTTGGCAACACAGGGCAGCGCATGCAGCTGCTTGGCAGGCAGTGACTCCTTCTGAACTCTCCCTAATTGCAGGGGTGCCCCAGAGCTGGTGACTGATGCTGCATTTGGAGGGGGGAGGGGGGGGTTGAAGCCAGGGATTGAACTCAGGGGCACTTGATCACTGAGCCACATCCCCAGCCCTATTTTGTATCTTAGAGACAGGGTCTCACTGAGTTGCTTAGGGCCTCGGTATTGCTGAGGCTGGCTTTGAACTCATGATCCTCCTGCCTCAGCCTCCTGAGCCACTGGGATTACAGGCGTCACCACCGCGCCTGGCTTGTCTGACGCTTCTGGACACACAGCCTCTCTGTTGGACAAAAAGCCCCTCAGCTCCTGGGGACCAGCTAGACTGTGCCACAGGAGGTGCCTCCTTTGGCCTCACCCTTTACACAGGCGGTCCTTCCCAGCAGATGGCGTCTCCTTTCCCTTTGTTAAATAAAAGTATTAAGCCTCATAATTGTGGTGTTGGTTACACAAATCTGTACGCGTGATGAAATCGCATCAACACCCTCAGCCAGGCTTGTAGAGCTGTTGAAATCTGAATGCAGGCTCCAGATCATATCAGTGCCAACGTCCTGGTTTTGAAATGATATTGTTCTGTCACATGTCACCACTGGAGAAGCCACACACAGGGTACTGGGACTGCTCTGCTCTACTTTTTTTTCTTTTTGGTGCTGGGGATTGAACCCAGGCCCCACCTGCACTAAGCATGTGCTCTACCACCGAGTGGCACCCCAGCTCCCACACTATCATTACACCTTCCTGCAAGACTGTCATTATTCTAAAATAAAAAGATTTTTTTTTTTTGGAGTTGTCAATAGACCTTTATTTTATTTATTTTTATATGTGGTGCTGAGGACCGAACCCAGTGCCTCACACGTGCTAGGCAAACACTCTACCACTGAGCCCCAGCCCAACCCTAAACAGATTTTTTAAAAGTAGTTGATTTGGGGCTGGGGGCGTGGCTGGGTGGTAGAGCCCTATGCCTATCATGCTTGAGGCCCTGGGTTCAGAAAAAAAGGTTGATTTATATTCCCTTCCTTCTTTCTGTACTGGGATTGAACTCGGCAACACTACCACTGAGCCATATCCCCAGCCCCACTTTTTTAATATTTATTTTTTAGATATAGATGGACACAGTATCTTCATTTTTTATGTGGTGCTGAGATCAAACCCAGGGCCTCACGCATACTAGGCAAGTGCTCTACCTCTGAGCCCCAGCCCCCAGCCCCTTTTATTTTATCTTGAGGCAGGGTCTTGCTGAGTTGTTGGGCTGACCTGGAACTTACCATCCTCCTGCCTCCTGAGTCTCCGGATGACAAGCGTGGATGTGTGTTTAGTCAACGTGGGAATGGAGAAACGAAATGTCACCTCTTTGCACAATGGAACATCACTCAGCCTTTACAATTAGGACAAAAATCCTGGCACCTGTCCCAACAGAAGAACCTTGAGAACATTATGCTATAATGCTGTGTTTTCCTGTTTGGAAATCTGAACGATTCGAATGAAAATAACGGTACACGCAACCGGTCATGTGAACAGGGACCACACACGAGCAGAGGACTCGAGAATGTCACCATCTGAGCAGCCCTGGCAACTGCAAGCATGTCCTTGTCCAGAAAGGAGGACTCAGGACAGGAAGGACCAAGGCTGTCTCTAGCCCAGTGTGGGGCCCGCGCCAGTCCTCCCAGCTGCTCAGGAGGCTGAGGCAGGAGGACCGTGTGAACCCAGGCGTTTGAGGCCAGCCTGGACAACCTGGCAAGGCCGCTCAAGAGGGAAAAAATGTGCCATCTAAGATCTCCAGTGAGTCCAGAAGATTTGATCTGGACACACCTCCGATTGCAGCCACATGTGGGTTGGGTCAGGACAGGTGACCTCAAACTTTCAAGAAATCCCTCACATTGGCCTCTCATGTGGGTTAACTCCACGGTTGATCTGGAAAAGTTTTGTTTAATTATATTTATTCATTTTTATTTGTTCTACTTAGTTGTATATGACAGCAGAATGCATTTCAATTCATCATACACAAATGTTGCTCAATATTTCAATTCTCTGGTTGAACACGGTGTAGAGACGCACGATTCGTGCCATCACACATGTACCTAGGGTAATGATGTCCATCTCATACCACCATCTTTCCTACCCTCATAACCTCTCCCCTCCCTCCCCTTTGCCCAATTCAAAGATCCTCCATTCTTCCTACGCCCCTCCCCCATTATAGATCAGCACTCACTAAGCAGAGAAAACTTTGGGCCTTTGGTTTTGGGAGATTGGCTTACTTTGCTTAGCATGATATTCTCCAACTCCATCCATTTACCTGCAAATGCCATAATTTTATTCTCTTTTCCTGCTGAGTAATATTCCTCTGTGTATATTTTACCAGTTTCTTTATCCATTCATCTATTGAAGGGCATCTAGGTTGCTTCTACAGTTTAGCCTATTGTGAATTCCGCTGCTATAAATATTGACATAGCTGCGTTACTATAGTATGCTGATTTTAAGTCATTTGGGTATAGGCTGAGGAGTGGGATAGCTGGGTCAGATTGTGGTTCCATTCCAAGTGTTCTAAGGAATCTCCAAAATGCTTTCCAGATGGGTTGCACCAGTTTGCAGTCCCATCAGCAATGTATGAGTGTGCCTTTTCCCCCACATCCTCTCCAACACTTAGTATTGCTTGTATTCTTTTTTAATTTTTTTTTTGTAGTTGAAGATGGATACAATATCTTTTTAAATTTATTTATCTTTATGTGGTGCTGAGAATCGAACCCAGGGCCTACACGTGCTAGGCAAATGCCCCACCACTGAGCCACAACCCCAGCCCCTATTGCTTGTATTCTTGATAACTGCCATTCTGACTGGGGTGAGATGAAATCTTAGAGTAGTTTTGATGTGTATTTCTCTAATTACTAAAGATGTTAAACATGCTTTTCATATATTTTTTGATCACATGTATATCTTCTTCTGAGAAGTGTATGTTCAGTTCCTTAGCCCGTTTATTGATTGGGTTGTTTGGTTTTGGGTATTAAGTTTTTTGAGTTTTTTGTATACCCCAGAGATTAGTGCTCTATCTGATGTGCATGTGGCAAAAATGTGCTCCCATGCTGTAGGCTCTCTCTTTACCTCAGTGATTGTTACTCTTATTGAGAAGAAGCATTTTAGTTTTAACCCATCCCATTTATTGATTCTTGACTTTATTTCTTGCACTTTAGGAG